TATATATATATATATATATATATATATATATATATATATATATAATATGTATATATGTAAAAGATGTATGTATATTTTGTTACATACACATACGTAACATCAAAATTATAATCTAATATCAGATTTATATGATATTCAATTTGTATAACGTTGAATCTATGCAATATTAAATCTCACAGAAGGTGCAATCTCTGCTACAATTGTAACATACATTTATTTATATGTAGATGAAGTAAAGAACGATTACTTGGTACCGTATCAACAAAAAGGTATTATGGGTTTAGTGCACCTCGAGTGTAAGCCGCAGAACCTGAGCTGCAATGATGAAAATAATCGCTATCGCTGTGGTTTATTATTCGAGAAACAACTGAAGAATGTAATAGTGCGTACTTTGCATGAGAAATATTAAGAAATTATTAATCACTTAATCGTAAGAATTTCGCGACTTCCAAGCAATATCATTTCTATGGCAAACGAGTTTTTCAGCAGACGTTACGAAATTAAAAACAAAATAATTATAAAATAAAGAAGAGAGGAAAAATTTCAACAATATTTTTTGGAATTCTCGTGTTGCTTCAACATTAGTCATATATAAAAAAAAAGATATGATGCATGTAACCAGAAATATTTAGTTGTGAGCAGCATAGTTGCATCACTCTAATTATCTTTGCATGATAGTAATGTATATAGTTGATATGAGTTACTTTGGTACATCGTCTACATCAAAGTAGTTGTGCATGATTCAGTCTAATCAGAAATTGCTTAGACTGATATTTATTATGGATAATCTTTCTGGTTGGAGCAACTAGATGTTGTCACTGTTGCAACATCAGTAACACAGTAATTACTCTGTTTATAGTCACATAATTAATTATTACATATTTTGCTATTGGTGTCTTAGTATCGTTATCTAGTTGGTGTAACCAGATTTATATGTGGGTCAATCATACTGTAAGGATCATGATTATAAGATAAGAGTTTTATTAATCATATGTAATGTTGATTTCTTATTTACAGAGCATGCAGCATCAGCTCTATATGCTGATAATCACACTGGCATTAATACTATCCCCGATATTTCTGAGTTTCCTAGCTTTCAGTTTGTCAAATAGTGGAGTTTCTAACCGCGGGATATCGATCATTAGCCTATATTGCATATTATTTATAGGCTTAGTTATAAATGAATTATTCAGGTGCGTTTAAATCTAATTTATTATTCTTTATAATCATTTTTATATATTTCATGAACTTTATTATCTGAGAATTAATTAGCACGATTGATTAGATCTGAGATATTTTACTGTCAGTAATAGAAAAATTGCAAAATTTTTTGGTCAATGAGTCTCACATTGTATCTATATTCAAAAAGACAATTTATTACTTTAGTAATTCTCAGAAGATAAATTATTCCATTAGATATCATGTTTTAATTTATTTTATGATTAATTTATTTTACAACTTTATTTTATACAGCAAAATAAATTCTGGATTTTATTCATTTATTACAGATACTATAAGAAAATCAATGAATTTGTTAAAACAACGTATCTAATAGTATGGAAGGTTCAGTCCAATTCTTTTCCTATTAAAAATTTTCAGACAAAATAAGCTCGATAGTGATACATGCTGAAAAAGTTAGTGATATATATATATATATATATATATATATATATATATATATAT